AAACAGAGTTTTACTTCTTCCTTCCTGATGTGGATGTCATTTATCTCTTTTTTTTCAGGCCTCATTGATCTAGCTTAGGGCTTCCAGTAATATGTTCAGTAAGAGTGGCGAGAGTGGGCATCCTTCTCTTGTTCCTGATCTTGGAGAAAAAGCTTTCACCTTTCCACCATTGGGCAGGATATAGGCTGTGGGTTTTCCGTATACAAACTTTATTATGTTAGGTACATTCCCTCTATACCCAATTATTGCAGGGTTTTGTAAGGATGTTGGATTTTGTCAAATGCTTTCCCTGTACATACTGGGATGATCCTATGGTTTTTACACTCCATTTTGTTAATGTGGTGTATCTTATTGATTAATTTGCAAATGTTGGATCATCCGTGAAATAAATCCCATTTAATCATGGTATGATCCTTTTAATGCAATTCAGTTTACTAACATTTTGTTGAGGACTTTTGCATCTACTTCATCAGGGATACTGGCCAGTAATTTGTTTTCTTCCTTGTAGTGCACTTGCCTGGCTTTGGTATTAGGGTAATGCCACCCTGTAAAACGAGTTTCAGAAGTGTTCCCTCCTCTTCTATTTTTGGAAGAGTTTGAGAAGGATTGTTGTTAATTCTTCTTTAAAAATTTGGTAGACTTCTCCAGTGAAGACATCTGATCCTGGACTTTTCTTTGCTGAGAGGTTTTGACTGATTAGATCTCTTTACTAGTAACTGATTTGTTCAGATTTTCTACTTCTTCATGATGCAGCCTTGAAATGTTATATACTTCTAGAAATTTATCCATTTCTTCTAGATTGTCAAATTGTCAGCATATAATTGTTTGTAGTGTTCTGTAATGATTCTATTTCTGTGGTGTCAGTTGCAACATCTCTTCTTTCATTCATGATTTTATTTATTTGAGCTCTCTTTTTGTGAAGAGTTTGCTTACGGTTTGTTAATTTTACCTATCTTTTCAATGAACCAACTTTAGTTTTAATGATTTTTTTAATTGTTTTTAAATTTCTATTTTACTTATTTCCACTCTGATCGTAATTGTTTCTAGTTCTTTCCTTCTGTTTACTTTGGGTTTTGTTTGTTCTTTTTCCAGTTCCTTTAAGTGTAAAGTTGAATTACTTTTTCTCGTTTCTGCAGTAGGACTGGTTAGCTATGAACTTCCCTCTAAGAACTGTGTTTGCTGCGTCTTATAAATTTTGAAAACTTGGCATTTTCCTTTTCATTCGTTTCACAACAGTTTTTGACTTCCTGTTTGATTCCCTCTTTGATATACACTGGTTGTTTAAGAGCATTCTGTTTGGTCTCCAAATGTTTATGGTTTTTCCAGTTTTCTCCCTGCAGTTGATTTCAAGTTTCATGACATTGTGGATAGGAAAAATGCTTGATATGTTTTGTTGCCTAATAGGTAATCTATTATGGAGAAAGTTGCACATGCACTTGCACATTCTATAAATATCTATTAAGTCCATTCGGTCTAATGTGTATTTAAAGTCATTGTTTCCTTATTAATTTTCTGTCTGGATGATGCATCCACTGTTGTGAGTGGGATATTAAAATCCCCTATTATTATTGTATTACTGTGTAACACAACTGTTTAGGTATTATATTTTTCAAGTTTTAATTTAAAGAAAGTGTTGTTTTACAAAAAGCTTTCAATAATTTGAGAAAAGCCCTGATCAGTGTGGCTCAGTTGACTGGAGTGATATTCCATAACCAAAAGGTTGTGGGTTCAATTCCCAGTCAGGGCACATGCCTGGGTTGTAGGTTAGATCCCCAGTCCAGGCTTGTATGATTTCCAGTCTAGGCATGTGTGGGAGGCAGCCAACCAATGCTTCTCTCTCACATCAATGCTTTTCTCCCTTCCTATTTCTAAAAGCAATGAAAAATGTCCTCAGGTGATGAGGAATATTCCAAAGTATTACCAGTGGGACCCCCAGTTAAGATGGTGGTATAGGTAAACACAACTTGCCTCCTCACACACCACATCAAAATTACAACTAAAATACAGAACAGCCACCACTCAGAACCGTGAGATATGCTGACTGGAAGTCTGACAACTACGGAATTAAACAAACCACATCCCTCCAGACTGATAGGAGGGGCACAGTTGTGGGACAGGCTAGTCCCATATTCATGTGTGGTGGATAAAAACTCAGGAGGGGTATCTTGGGAGTAAGGAGTCCCAGCCCCACACCAGGCCCCCAGCCCAGAATTCCAGTGCCAGGAAGATAAGTCCTCGTAACTTCTGGCTGTAAAAACTAGTGGGGGACCCCACACACGGACTTACTCAGACTCCCTCCTTCTGAGCTCTAGCACCAGTGTATTGGCTTGAAAAGTACCACTGACATGCAGGGAGAAAGTGAAGTGCTGGCATCGAGACCAGAGTTGAGGGACAACTTTCTCTCAGAGAGAAAGTGGGCAGAGGCCATTGTGCCTTTTCTGAACCCTCCCCTGACAGAGCCATACAGCCAGCAGCCTGGTACCACACCTGAAACTCCATCAACCTGGCTAACACTTTTTGCCCTGCCCTGGAGATCTCCAGAGACTCTATCCCACCCAACTTATGGGCCCACTGAAACTACTTTTCCATATGAATGCCTGGTCTTGACTCATGCTTCACACTTCCTAAATCCTCTCAAACAAGCAACAGCCAGCCTCAGTGAGCCCCTAGTCCCCATACCTCTTGCTAAATGGCCCCAGGCCCAGCATTAGCAGCGGCCAGCCTAGATTCACAGCTTGGCTTCACCTGGGAATCTTCAAGCACAGCACAAGTAGCAGCCATCACAAACTGCTTTGAGCTCAGGCAGGGAGGCCATGGAAAAAACACATGTGGGAACCGAATTTGGCCTGTACCACCCAGGAAACCCCAGAGCCAGCGCATCCAGTGGAGAGCCACAGGCCAGGTCAGAGTACCACCACCTTGCCTGTTGGTGGTCAGTGGTTACAGCCAACCCTTGCAGCTGACTGGCCTGGGTAAATCCCTCCCATTGACCTGCCAACAGCAACCAAGGTTCAGCTACAAGAGGAGGATCTACTCAGGCCACAAATAAAGTATCCAGCTTGGGTTATAGGGGAGGCTGTGCCACTGGACACTACAGGACACCTACTACATTAGGCCAGGCTACCAAGACTCTACCAGGCTCTAATACATAGAAACAAACACAGGAAGGCTGCCAAAATGAGGAGACAAAGAAACATGGCTCAAATGAAAGAACAGATCAAAACTCCAGAAAAAGAAGTAACAAAATGAAGATAAGCGATCAGATGCAGAGTTCAAACACTATTTATAAGGATGCTCAAGTTACTTAGGGAGGACCTTAACAGCATGAAAAAGATAGTCAAAAATGAAGAATGTACTAATTAAAATAAAGAACAATTTACAGGAAAAACAATGGTAGAATGGATGAAGCCCAGCTTCAAATCAATGACTTGGAATATCGTAAGGAAGCAAAAAAAACAACCAATCAGAACAACAAGAAAAAGGAATCCAAAGAAACTAACATAGTGTAAGCAGCCTTCAGGACAACTTCAAGCACTCCAACATCCACATTACAGGGGTGCCAAAAGGAGAAGAAAAAGAGCAAGAAATTGGAAATCTATCTGAAAAAATAATGAAAGAAAATTTCCCTAATTTGGTGAAGGACAGACATGCAAGTCCAGGAAGCACAGAGTCCCAAACAAGACTGATGAAAAGAGGTCCATATTTCAAAACACGTCTTTATTAACGTATTTTGCTGTGTCCAATGCACTCCCATGTATAATGAGCACCCAAGTTTTTGGCCCAAACTTTCAGGAAAAAATCTTTTGTTTCAATTTTTTAATTCAATTTTTAATTTATTTATGTTTAGGTATATATTTTTTGTACTATAAAGAAATTTTAGCATTTAACTTTGAACGAGAAATTTTATGTAACAAATAATTACAAACCACAAGAACAGATACAAGGTATTTCAGCTATTACCCAAGTATAATGCACATCCTTCTTTTCCCTCAAAAACTTGGGCAAAAAAAAGTGTGCATTATACATGGCAAAATGCAGTAAAATGCCAAAGGTTAAAGATAAAAGAGAGAATCTTAAAAGCAGCAAGAGAAAAGAAGTTAGTTACCTACAGAGGAATTACCATAAGACTGTCAGCTGATTTCTCAAAAGAAACTTTGCAGGCTACGAGGGGTTGACAAAAAATATTCCAGGTTATGAAAAGCAGGGACCTACAGCCAGGATTACTGTACCCAGCAAAGATATTGTTTCGAATCTAAGGGCAGATAAAGAGCTTTCCAAACAAGAAAAAACTAAAGGAGCCCATCATTACCAAACCATTGTTCTATGAAGTGCTAAAGGAACTTATTTTAGAAAAAGATCAAAATGATAAATAATAAAATATCTATCCACAATTAAATCTAAAAATCAAACTAAGCAAATAAGGAGAACAGAGACAGAATCATAGATATGGACAGCATTTTGATGGTTGCCAGATGGGCATGGGGTGTGGAGGAATGGGTGAAGAATTGAGAGGATTCAGCAGGACAAATAGTACTGCTTACAGAATGGTAGTTACAGAATGGCCATGAGATGTAAAGTACAGTGTAGGAAATGGAGTAACCAAAGAACTTAAACACATGACCCATGGACCTGAACAATGGTGTGGGGACTGCGGGATTGATTGGGGGGTGCTGGGTGGATGGGAGCAAAGTAGAAAAAAAGTGAGACAACTGTAATAGCATAATCAATAAATATCATTTTTAAAAAATAAATGTTATCAGTGACTGCAATGACTGCCTCCTGATAAGAAATTAGGAGTTTTTCCTGTTTTTGTATTTTAAATACTTACTATCCGTATAATTAAACCCTAACCACAACGTACTGAAACCAATAATTCAAAAAACCATATTGTTAACACTCAGGTATTAATTCTGCAAGAGAATGGGAAATGGCCTAAAGGAAATGATACAGCACACCACCACTGCACTTACCAGTAAATCACAGTATTATCTTTTACGTACCGGTGAATCTGTCCATTTTTGTGCAGGTATTCCAACCCTTCCAACACTTCTTTGAGTATTGTAGCAATGGTGGGCTCATCCAGGACTCCACTCCTGTGTTCCCCCTTTGCCACAACGTGCTTAATAATATCCAGAACAGAACCTGGAAACAGAAGACACAGCTTCCCATAAATTTTTAACTTATTCAATGATTCAGAGTCATTCGGAAATCAAAACACATGTAAACCCTTCTGATAAATTTAATTGTGTGGAAAAGAAAGGAAGAAAACAGCCCTGGCTGCTGTGGCTCAGTGGATTGAACATGGGCCTGCAAACCAAATGGTCCCTGGTTTGGTTCTCAGGGCACAAGCCTGGGTTGTGGGGCCAGGTCCCCAGTTGGGGGTGTGCAAGACACACACTGATGCTTCTCTCCCTCTCTTCCTCCTTTTCTTCTCCTCTGTCTAGAAATAAATAACATATTTTTTAATTAAAATAAAAAATATAGGAAATGTAAAAGTTTAAAATTCATAATAATTTATTCTCATTGCCAATCTAAAACAGAAAGAAGACTGCTAATAACCAAACAACAGTGTTACACCACCATCATCCTCAGACTTCTAATGAGAATTCGGAAAAGGTAGTCGAGAATTTTTAATACCTAGGTTAACCACGCCCAATCAACTAACACTTTAATATAAGATATCACAAACAACTTGGGTTTCAACACCAGATTAGAGTATGCAACACTATGTGAATAAAGACAGAAAAATACAATTGACACACAAGTCAAATTACATAAGAAATACTTGAAAAGTAAAAGTCACATGTGTATTCGAACTAACTTAAGGATTAAAATTATGTTTCAGGTTGATAAATAATAGAAATAAAATAGGAAAGGCAAAGAAAACTATGAAAAAAAGTAAAGATGGCAGTTTTCTTTTTAAATAACAGATATATTACCAATCCCCTTCTTCCCAGGTCAGAAAATAATGCCGCTACTAAAAATTAGGGGAAGGGAAGGAAGATACCTACATAGAATTAAACCATAGAAAGCTGACTACCATAACTGATGCTTATAATTTTTAACAGTTGGCTAGAGATCTGTAAGATTTCTGTTAGAACAACTGCCCATTAAGACCACAGAACCAGAACGAAACCACCTCCAATGTTAGAAACTGCACCGAGAACTCTGCTACTGCACTAGGAAAACCATGTCCATTTCTTGGCACAAGACCTTAATGATCAGGACTGAAATGAAAACAAACACAGGATTCTGTTGAAAACTTGCTCTGGTGGGTCCCTCCTATTTCACCTTTAAAAAGAACAAAACGTGCTTCCAGACCGATGAAAAGAGCAGTCTAGATGGAATCTCTGAAAACACAGGAGGGTTGAACCCATGCTTACTTTAGCTCCCATTGGAAATCCTCTAACTTGATAAACTTGATTTTTTAAAAAAGGGTATAAACCCAGAACAAAGAAGAGAAAAAAAATCATAACAGATGAGAGAAAATAATAATAATTTGGGGAGAGGAAAGCAGAAAAAGAAAAAGTAACGGACTGAGCAGAGAAATCTGAAACTTCAACATCTGCAGAGAAGGTATGCCAATTAAGAAAAAGTGATCCCTGCCCAGAGCATCAGAAAGGCTCAGAACATAAGGACCACGCAGGGGGGAATGAGGGGGAACTGAAGGAAAGGGTGAAAATAGGAAAATGATTGAAAGGTCATAAGGAAGAATGTGATTCCCCAGACCCGCCCCCACTCTGTACCTCCAGCCTCTGGCAGGAGAGAGGCAGTTTACTCTCCCTAGACAAAGAACTGGGCAAGGGGGGGGGGGGGGCGTGCCCCAAATACCAGGTAACTTCCCCTAATATATTACCTCCCCTCCCCTCTTTACTGCTGGGATTCACAAGACTGATCCACAAAGGACGAGGCCTCAGGCAACACCAAGGGCAGACTAGGGTAGGCCATACCACACTGAAGGTGCTTAATCTCCACCAAGGGGGAGGACTAAGGGAAAACTTTTCTTCTGCTTAGTTTTAGCCATTCACACATTAATCCCCAAAACAAAGTGACTACACTAACAGGCAGTTCATTCTTCTGAGAAATCCAGGCCACATAAGAACTGCTTAGAAAGAAGACATCTGTTTAAATGCCAACTGAGTTACATGTTTATAATGTAAATAAGATCTGAAATTAGGAATGCAAAGGGAGAAATTCCTACTAGGAATTAAAAATTAACACAATGTATTCATTTAACAATTAAGCCATATTATATGCAAGATCTAGAACTGAATGCCACAGAACACGCAGAGACATACACAGCATGACTGAGGACTTTTAAGGAACGTCTGTCTGGTGGCTCGAGGAAATGGAGCAGGAAAGATCCCAGGGCACATAAAAAGTTTTAAAAGTTTGAAGCAAGAACTCCTTCTAAAAATCGTAGATGTCTTTTTTATTAATTCCCCATCATCTACTGATCAACAGGGCAGCTAAAGCAACACACGTCCCAGCCTCCACCTGGAGCAGACGCACTGAGTGAGCTTGGAGCAGGAGGCCCTTGCCTAGTAAGGTCCTTTCCTTTCCGTCTCCCAACAGTGTAATTTTTATAAGTAAGCGATGATCAGTCCACCAAGATCGTCCTGATGCTGCAGCACCTAATCCCACAGGTACTCATTCTCCTTCCTTCCGATAGCTTTCTTCATCACTTTTGATTTCTAAAAATCTTATATTGCAGTTTATAAATTGTAGAATAGCTATTTAGATCAACAGTGCTTGTAATTTCCAGATATTAACTTCCTATACTGATTCCATTATTCAATTATCAAGAGTTTTAATTAGCAAAGGGTAAGAATATCATCATTATAAGGAAGCACTGTGAAATAATTATAATGTTAACACACTTAAAACTTATTTTAACCAAGATGTCCATCTGGCTGATGGGTTTGAAAGTGACAGTTGCAATTCATTTTACAATTTAATTAGCTCATTAAATTTTATATCAGCACAATGTTGCTATATCAAAAATATGCTTTTTGTCGTAAATATTTTGGCTGAAAAAGCCGACGTGAAAGAAGGCAGCCTATACATTCTTCTGTTAACTCTGGTTAGATGTGTTCTTTAACTATTCAGGTCACCTGCTGCTGTCCCTGCTCCAGCCGTGACTCCTCCCCACCCCCCCGTCAGTCCCCCAAGACATGCACACCCCTCCATCCTCCCTGCAGACGATTCCCTGCCCAGTGCTCCATCTGGATCCCTTCCCCATCCTTCCCCTGATACCACCCCCCCAATTTCGCCTGGCTAATTACCACCTGATCCTCAGATCTCAGATGGATACGCCTTCCTGAGGGAGTCTTCACTAGCCCCACTACCCCCATTCTCTCCAGCAAGGTTCCATTCTCCCAGTACGTCTCCCAGTGGCACCTAATACTTCCTCACTGCTCTCTACACACTTACAGTTATTCAACTGCAACCTTTCCTTATCAGCTATGAAATCTGTAAGAACAAGGAACCAACATTTGATTCACCAATGTACTGGTGCTCAATCGGTCACCTGAGCTATCTGGACAGTTTCCTCCTATTAAAAAAAAATTAAAGTTGTGCTTAAGTTTACCTATTGTTTTCTAATACTGCACAATGTACCTCTAAAGTTTAAATGTGTATTCACTCTGTAAGTACAAAAGCAAGATTTCAGTTTCCTAAAAAGCATGCGAAGTTTTTAATATTTTAAAATTAGGTTTAGATGTATGATTATGCTGACTCATAAAAATATAAGTAATTATAAAAAGAGTGAACACCTGAAACATGTTTGAAAATTATCCTCCAGAAAATCTGCTGAGGGGCTAAGCCAAAAACACTGGGCACTGTCCTAAGACCAGGAGGGACAGAGAGGTACCTTTAAAAGACACCATCCAGATACATGTCCTTCCACTCCTGTGATCAGGACGTGTACTCACTAAGAGAACATGGATTCTTGAAAATATGTGTCATTCTGCTTAGGAGTGTAGCAGAAAGGACAGGCTGGCAAAGTGTGGATGAGAAGAGTAAGCAGACAATTTATTCCTATTCATCAGAGGACGTTTTTTGCAAAACACTGAAAACTCTGCATTATATGGTTTTATAAATTAGAATAAATAATCACACTATAAATGGTCAATAACAAAAGACACGGTATTACCTAATGTCCCCATATCTGTCCACACTGAAAGGACCATGCTTGACCACCATCGTGAAAGGTGGCTGGTGTTAGCAAGGCTTCCGACCATCGTGTGATCAGGGCCTTTAACAAAGCAATCCAGTCTCTCCAGTGTGTGTCACTAATTGGACTGAAACAAAAAGGTGATTCTGGCTACACTGAAAAGCATCACATAACAAGGGGTTACTATTCTTAATGACAAAAATTTCTTGTGCACCTTACTACACACATGGCAGCACAGGGTGGGGGGGAGGCTTTCCAAGTATCATCTCGTTTACTCTTCCACGACAACCTGAAATGAAGAAGGCACCCCCATTTCACAAACAAGAAAGCAGGCTCAAAGGGTTTGCCCAGTGACACAGAACTGCTATGTAGGAAAGTTAGAATTTCATTCTAAAGCCTTTAAACCTCACTGGGAAGCAACTGTTTAATGAGGTATGACAGTAAAATTGCAAACCAATACGGACCCCCTTTTCTGAAACCCTGCATTCTCAAACAGAAAGTCATGCTCCCACACAGAAGGCGTATGCAAACAGACCCGAGCAGCACAGTGACGGGAAAGCCGGGCGGCTCCATCGCTCGCTAGCCCTCTCGCTCTGCCACGTGTTTCAAATCTGTGCCTCAGTGTGCTATCTAATCTACCACAGGGCAGGGCCTTCGGGACACCGTACACGATGTCTAATCCACGCCTGCCAAGGGTCCACTGTTTGCAATCGCAATCCTTGCTTACATCTTCTCCTAAGGGTTAAAACAGAAATAACTGCACATTTACTGCAGGACAAAGCACATAATTAATCATGTTAATGCTGGGGACCAAGATTTTCTGTGCCAGAGAAACAAGATTCAAGCGTAATTCGAAAGTTTTAAAGGTCTGTAATAGTAAACTTGAATTGGAAGCATTAATGTTAAATCATGACTTATTTTTAATATGCTAAATTTCCAAGCTCTTTCAACTAGAAGCAATGATAAAATAGCAGCAAAGAGCATCCCAAGCATCCAAGACACGCTTTCTAATACCATTCCCCATAAAAAAGATCAGAGCTCCTGAGAATATCGGCTGGTTTGGGTCTGGGAAAAGCAACAGAAACATGAGCCTAGAAAATCTAGAACCGAAAAACAAGGAACTTATCAAAGATTGATGAATCACATCTGAAGGACACTAGAGTAGGCTTTGTCTGTGGGAGTCGACTCCCACAGACAAAATTTTGTCCAGCCTGAGCATCAAAAGAATAGAGTATAATTGAAAGACACTGAATATATAAAAATCCTTGGGGGGGAGGGGAACAGAGCAACTGTAATGGCATAATCAATAAAATAAAAATTAAAAAATAAAAATTAAAATCCTTGAATCTATGTAATAAATATTCCAAAAAATGACAGCCTTACCCAATGGGCATGGGGGGGACCCTCTCATTTGCTACCACTGGAGGTGATCATTAAACTAACTCTTTACCATAAAAATTGGTCCTTAAAAAAAGAGCCAATTATTTATCCTGTCTTTTCAGTAGGAACTGTAACAAAGATTAACCAAAGAGCCAGTGAATAAGGTAAAGTTCTTTTACAAAGAAGACAGCCAGTTTATAAATGTAAAAGAAAGGATGCAGTAACAAACACCACCATTCTGCAGTCCCTGACAAAACAACTGGTTCAAACGATTGTTAATAGATGCTAAAATCACTTGACAAAAGGCTTATGAGGAACTAGGTACTCACAGTATCAAAGTACCACCTCACAGATTACTTGTTATATGCAAAGGGAAAAAAGTTACCCTTCCCTTCCTTGGAGCCACCTGGCCAGCACGATCTTAAGCAATCAAAATTAACGTCACCATTAAAGATGAAACCAGAGAACAAATACATTCTGACATGATGCAACAGGAAGTACACAACACCAACTACAAAATCTTGTGCCAAAAATACTTAACTTAGCCCTTGCTGGTGTAGTTCAGTGGGTTGAGCACCAGCCTGCAAACCACAAGGTCTTGGGTTTGATTCCCAGCTGAGGCGCAGGCCCAGGTTGCAGGCCAGGTCCCCCACTGGGGTGTGCAAGAGGCACCTGACTGATGTTTCTCTCCCTCTCTTTCACCCTCCCTTCCCCTCTCTTTAAAAAGAAATAAATAAAACCGTAAAAAAAAATATTTAACTTAAATCTAACCAAGGCTTTAGATCTAGTTTTCAGTTTGTAAAAAACAGAGGAATATAAATCAAGTTAAACATCATCATAAACAAAGGTCCAGATGAATCCAGGTGTGGGACATTCTACGGGAGTCGCCATCACACCTTTCAGACCAGACCCCCGTCAAATTTATGTCAGGGAAGAGAGGAAGTGGGAGGGGACCATCCCACACTAAGAGAAATTTAAGAGGCGCGACAAGCAATTGTAACGTGTGACACCTCTCTCAGCTCATCCATTGGCCCTGTTAGTAGACACTACATTCTCAGTAAGTCCCTCCTCAAATGTGAATGTCCATGAAAACCAAACGAGAACAGAAAAGAACGTTTTTATTAACTTTCCAATCCACAGAAGTTAGTACTCCCCAGTATTTCACTCACCTCCACTTAGCAGCTTCATGACTAGCCACAGCTCATCTTTTACTACGAAAGACGTGTAGTAAGACACAATATTTGGGTGATGACACTGACTCATGGCTTGAATTTCTTTCTACAAAGAAGAGAAAACACGGAAACTCGTTACACGCAGGCATAGCACAGCACTAGTGAATACCGGCCGGGGATCCCAAGACTCTGTCACAGCCTTTCTGGGACCTCCGCGGCTCTGACCTCTGCCAGAACAGTTGAAACGGGAACCGCTCCGTCTCCCTCAGTCCACCGGGACTCTGCGCCTTCCACTCGCTGCTCTAGTAACCGCTGAAACAAGAAACACGCACCACTTACCTCGCCCGGGCCCGGCCCAGCCCTACAGGGCCCTCCACAGGGCCCGCATTCGCACTTCAGGGAGCCCTCGAGAAACCATCCTGGGAAATCTTGTTGTATAGCCAGAGAGGATAAATACAAATAAACAAAGGGTGGTTTTTTGTTCATCTGTGGGTCATTTATTTATTTCAAAATTTTGTGTCATCCCACTTTTGTGAAATGATCAACAATTCTCACACTAAAGGGAAAAGACTGAAACAGGGCAAGGTCATAAACTAAATCCAAAGTAGAAGCCTGTGCCAAAAGTCTAAGCTTACACAATCTCCATTAATAAATTTAAATTAGTGCGGGTATAATAAAGTGTCTTAGAAAGCCCTGTTACCTCTCTAATATTATTCCTATGCCCTCACACCGTACACCCCAAAATATCCCAGTCCTAGTCACTTCAAGTGAGCCATGCCTCCTCTAACCATGGACGCTGCGCCGTACTGGTCCCTCTGCCTCAAATAACCTCTCTCACTAGCTGTGCCTTGCTGCAACCACCAATTCTTCCTCCTGAACGCAGTCCTCCACTCCTCGGGTTGAGTTAGGTGTCCCTTCTCCTGGCTCCCTACATATATCCTTCCATCACGGCATATGTGTACTGAATAGTAGTACCCTGGGCGCTCGCCTGCCTGTCCCTTCTCGCTAGATGGAGAGTTCCATGAAGGCAAGTACTTAGAAGGAGATTCCTTCCCTGGCCAGGTGGCTCAGTTGGTTGGAGCACTGTCCTGTACACCAAAAGGTTGCGGGTTGGACCCCTGGTCGGGGCACATACCTGGGTTGCACCCCAGGTCGGGGCATATACGGGAGGCAACTGGTCAATGTTTCTCTCTCCCCGCCTTTCTCTCTCTCTAATAATCAATAAATATATCCTTGGGTGAGGATTTTTAAAAAATAAATAAAGACTTAGCTTTTTAAAAGAGTGGATTCCTAAACACCATGGAACTTGTGTGCTATACTGCAATTGCCGATTTAGTTTTCTGTGTCCCTCACAAAACTGTCGGCTCAATGACAACTAAGACTTTCTGGCACTTATCATTGTTCCTGGCACACAGTACACCTTCAATAAATATTTGCTGAATGAATGAATCCTACAGCACTTTATACAGGCTTTTTTACTGATTCATATATTTGACCTTGGTGTTTGTTCAGTAAAATCAATCACGTAAGAGCTGCCCATAATCCCTGCTTCACATGAAGTACTCAACAAATACCAGTTTTTCTTTCCTCATTGTCTCTACTTGAATGTACACTGCTTTACAGCAAGGACCTTGTCCTTTGTATTTCTGCAACCCCCAAAGTCGCCACACTATCTTCTGTACTAAAAGCTAAGTAAACATGAAGGAAAAGGAAGAAGGAACTAAAGGGAGCACCTGCCTGCTGATATAGTTACTAGAAGAGATAAGTACACGTGACAGGGGACACACAGGACAGCACACACATGCCGGATGAGTAGTAAAGACAATAAATGTTACCGAAATCTACAGGAAACAGTTCAGGTAGGCAGAAGTCTTCACACTGGCAACTAGGTTTCCTTCTGCTGGATGTGCAGATACGACAGCAGTACAAGGTGAAAGGCGTAAGTAATCACAAAAAAAAGGTGCAATGTGCAAGAGACAGCATAGAACACAATGAGCAACCCTGTCTGGAATAAACAGTTCATGCTTCCTACAGGTATGTACCGAGTGCCTCTCACATGCCCAGCACAATGGTAGGTGCCCGACCACCATGGCGAGCTCTCGCGAAACTTGCAGTCCGGTGAAGATGTCAGACAAATATGGCTTCCAACACAGACTGATAAACAGTTTGACAGGGGAAGTATCAGATATTACATGACTTCATCGGAGAGTCAAATCATCAAAAGACAGGAGTGACTATCAGGGAAGGCTTCCCTGAGAAGTTTCAGTCCCCCGAGACTGGTCAAAGCCTCCCTGCCCTGGTGGCCCAAGACACCAGCACCTCCACAAAGGCCTCCAGCTTCATACTCGGGAGCGCCGTTCCGCCTCTTCCTTGCACAGGACTCAATGTGTTTCCTAGGCACTCGACATGCTCTGCCCCGTACAGCAGAGCACCCAGTCTTCGACTGCACCGTGAGGCTCTTGGTAGAAGAAGAGACATTTTAAGCCTCGTTACGTACCCCTTGGATGTCTGTCCAATGAATCTAGTCCTAGCACCTACGAGAGAAAAATCTCCAAGCACTGCACTGTGTGCCCTTCTGAGGGAAAAGCCTATGAGTAAAGTCTCTGGAGAAAATAAATTTAGTAAGAGCTGAGAGCTGACTTTCCCATCACACTTAGCAAAGGTTGTCAGACAAGAAAACATTTTGACAAGAGAAAGGAGCAACACCCTGCCCCCTCAGTGACAACTGTCACACACGGCGCACACCTGCAGTCAGTTCACCTCACCCTCTCTGGAGAACGCAGGGCACCCTCTTGCATTAAAACAAAGAATTTTGAAAACAGTTTTTTAAATCACCACATTTGCAGTTTACTCCGTTGATCTACTAGATTTTTTCAGGTAAACCGAAGGGCTTCATCTCTCTCAGAAACGCAGCCCGTGGCACTGGGATCTCTGGTTCTGACGACATGAACACAGATAAATGAGGCATTATTTATACTCCTCAGGTGTCTCCTGGGCTTAGTGGGATCTTACCCGCTCCCCAGCCTCCCAAGTAAAGCCAATTAATCTTAAACTTGCTTTACTAAAAGTCGCTTATTTACCAAATATATACATACTACATTTGCAACATAAAGCTTCCTGGACTATGTGGCCAAAATTTAAGGAGATCTAACTAATGTTTTTCCGTTAATTAAGCTGTATCAACTCTCCATTCCTCTAAAGGACAGGCCCCGGTGTACTGACACATGTGTTACTCTCAAGAATGTCAGGTTATGTTTTAGAAGCAATGTTCTTTCCAATTTTAAACTAAGATTATAATCATTTTGTCAGTATCATATGAAGTAGAAAACAATAGACTTTAGTCAGAAAGACCTGACTTTTAATCCAGAGTGTCACTTACCATATGATTTCCCTGCCTTGCCTACAAAATGGAGCTGTCCCCCATCTCACAGAGATGTTTATGGGGTTAAAGTGCACGTAAGTGCCCAGCACTGAACAGGTGTTGGCTATTCCTTATCTTCATGTGAACTTACTCAAGTTATCTAAACTCTGTGCCACAGTTTCTTTAGTCAAGAAGTAAATACTTTCATTCATCTTTACTTATTATGTAAAATAACTGGCAGATGATAGGAATTTATATTGGGCTTCTCAAACTCCAGGCTTAATATGTAAGCTAAATACTACTTTCTTTTCTTTTTTTCTAAATACATTTTATTGATTATGCCATTACAGTTTGTCCCATTCCCCCCTTCATTCCCCTCCACCCTGCACACCCCTCCCCCACCATTCCCCCCTTTAGTTTATGACCATGTGTCACAAGTTCTTTAGATTCTATTATTTCCCATGCTATTCTTGTCCTCCCCCTATTTTCTACCTACTGTCTATGCTACTTATTCTCTGTACCTTCTCCCCTCTTCTCCTCCTCCCACTCCCCTGTTGCTAACCCTCCATGTGACCTCCATTTCTATGGTTCTACTCCTGATCTAGCTGTCCTCTTAGCTTGCTTTTGTTTTATGTGTGGTTGTTAATAACTGTGAGTTTGCTGTCCTTTCACTGTTTATCTTTTTTATCTTCTTTTTCTTAGGTAAGTCCCTTTAACATTTCATATAATAAGGGCTTGGTGATGATGAACTCCTTGAATTTGATCTTATCTGAGAAGTACTTTATCTGCCCTTCCATTCTAAATGAAAGCTTTGCTGGATAGAGCAATCTTGGATGTAGGTCTTTGGATTTCATGACCTGGAATACTTCTTTCCAGCCCCTTCTTGCCTGTAAGGTCTCTTTTGAGAAATCAGTTGACAGTCTGATGGGAACTCCTTTGTAGGTGGCTGTCCCCTTATCTCTTGCTGCTTCTAGGATTCTCTCCTTCATTTTAATCTTGGCTAATGTAATGATGATGTGCCTTGGTGTGTTCCTTCGTGGGTCCAACTTCTTTGGGACTCTCTGAGCTTCCTGGATTTCCTGGAAGTCTATTTTCTTTGCCAGATTAGGGAAGTTCTCCTTTACTATTTGTTCAAATACGTTTTCCACTTGTTGCTGTTCCTCTTCCCCTTCTGGTACCCCTATAATTTGGATGTTGGAGCGTTTAAAGATGTCCTGGAGGTTCCTAAGCCTCTCCTCATTTTTTAAAATTCTTGTTTCTTCATTCTTTTCTGTTTGGTCGTTTTTTTCTTCCTTCTGGTTCACTCCCTTGATTTGAGTCCCAGTTTCCTTTCCACCACTATTGGTTTCCTGTGCATTTTCCTTCATTTCAATTAGTTTAGCCTTCATTTGTTCCTCTAATTTGTGACTAAAATCAACCAGTTCTGTGAGCATCCTGATCACCAGTGTTTTGAACTGTGCATCTGATAGGATGGCTATCTCTTGGTCACTTAGAAGTATTGGCTCTGGGGCTTTGAGCTGTTCTTCTTGAGCCATAATATTTTAGTCTGTTTGCGCCTGTTACTTATGAGGGGCAGAGCCTGAGAAGTTCACCAGGGCGGGACAACCCAGGTCACTGGGTTGGGATGCTGTATGTTGGGGGGGGGGGTCAGAAAGGGGCAATGGCATTTGTTCTGCTTTCTCTTGGATTTCGGTCCCCTCTGCTGCTTCCTGCAAGCAAATTGGGCCCTTCTAGTGCTGGTTCCCAGGTGTGTGGGCTTGTGAACCCTCCAGGACACTGTGGGTCTCTCCAACAAACTCTCTGTGAGGCTGGGAGCTTCTCCTGGCACCTCAACCCCGAAAGTTTTTCCAATTGGTGCTTTTAGGCTTTATTTCCCGGTGCTGGGGCCCTGGTTTACGTGGTCTGTCTCACTGCTCCCTCCTCTGCCTGGTTTATCTGCGCATGAATGTATGACTGAGGTCAGCCAGCCACCTTGTGCCCTCCCTGGGTCTGCCCTTTGCCACCCCACACCTGGGATCCACCAACCACCAACCACCACCTGTGCGCCTGGGTCGGTTTGGCCACTTTTTCCTGCCCCACCCGGCTCCGCCAGCCACTGGCTCTGCCCCTCTAACCGGTCTGGCTGAATGGTTTGTTGTTGTCGGACTTCCACACAGTTCAATTTTCTGTGTTTTTCTTGCACTTTTGTTACTAAAACTTTGTAGTCTTTAAACTTTATTGTGTGAGGAGGCACAATGTTTCCACCTACACCTCCATCTTGGCCAGAAGTCTCTACTTTTTTTTAACAGAATGAGTTTACAACATAGATTTTTTTCATAATCACTGCCACTTGAATGTCCAAATGATGCTCGCACAGGTGTCTAAACTTTTGGCATCTCTGGGTGACACTGGAAGAAGAGGAGCTGTCTTGGGCCACACATTAAATATGCAAACACTCACAAAACCAAAAAGTCTCATGTTTTAAGTACATGTACAATTTTGCATCGGGCTGCATTCATAGCTGCATTTGGGGCCGCATGCAGCCCTCAGGCTGTGGGTTGGACACCCTTGCACAGTGTTACTGGCACCTGTAAACCTAAGGTCATCACACAGAATTTCAATCAGTGTCTCCTTCCAAGTGAGTGTTCTCCCACCAAAGACAGCTCAAGGTCACTCCAGTAACGGACTTCCTCGGCTTCTGCCCATGCACTGCCAATGCCTGAAGAAACACATTCGTCTCATCTTCTAAAAGTTCAATATATAATTCTATTCTCTCTCTTCTTTTTACTCTGATTATTCCTTAATACTCAGTACAGACTATACCAGAAGTTAAATCCAATCTGGGACACTGGAAAAAACTTCTGGACTGTCAGATTATGCCGGTCCTAATTCCTGCTCTATCACTAGCTATATATGATCTCAGAGAAATTACTTAATAAAATAGCATATTAGTTCATATTTGTAGGACAATTTATATAGTTCTTGAGTACTATGTCACTTGATCTTCAAGAAAAATCTCATGAAATCCATTTTAAGCCAAAGAAATCGAGCATTTATACAGTTAAATATTTTGAAAAACCATCTGATTTCCCTCATCAAGCAGTTACTACATACTTCAAACTACTCTGGGTGTCATGGTGCATAAAAGAAGTCCCAAACAACCTGAGTGACTGGCTTTTAATGCCACAAAAACCTCTCTCACAGCTATGGGTCCTTGGGACCCCCTTCTTTCTCTTCCCCCAGCCTTTGCAGAAGCCAGTGTCAGCTGTGGTCACCCTCTCTCTCATCTCACCTCAATGGTCAGAATGCAGGTTTGAACCACGCTGTTGGGGGAGCAAAGCCTTTCAAAGGATATTCTATTTGATCCAGGAATCAAAATTGCATGATTCTACTTTAAGGAAAAAGAAGTAAACAAGCATCATTTATAACAATAAAAAAGAAGCAAGGAGCCCTGGCTGGTGCAGCTCAGTGGATTGAATGCGGGCTTGCAAACCAGAGTATCGCAGTTCGATTCCCAGTCAGGGCACGTGCCTGGGTTGCAGGTCAGTTCCCAGCAGGGGACGCATGAGAGGCAACCACACATTGATATTTCTCTCCCTCTCTCCTTCCCTTCCCCTCTAAAGATAAATAAATAAAATCTTTAAAAAAAAAGAAGCAAGGTAATTGTTCGATACTAGAGAATGGGGTAAATAAAGTGTGGTCTACCTACTCACTGGGATACCACCCACATGCTGAAAATTGAATTAACTCACATGTAGAGACACAAAAAGAATTCTGTGATAAATTTTTCAACAAAAATAACAAGTATATGATTATATTACCATAAACATACAAAGAGGTTTAACTGTGCAGCCTGAAAGACTGCACAGCGAGCGCTAGCTGATCTCTGAATTAGAGGATTATAACTCTGCCTTTTCTCTCTACTTACCTGAATTTTTATACATTTTACAATAAACATGACTATTAATGTTTTAAAAAAGGAATAAAAACTTCACCCATTCCCCACTCTAACCTGAAATGTACAAGATTATACCCCCCACTTAAGGAACAGGAGACAGCACATACCAGAAGCTCATCCATGCTTGTCTGACATTTCTCAAGGTTTATCCGTTTGATCGCCACTTTCTCCTTTTTAGGGGCACAGTATGCTGCTTGGACCACAGCCGTTGCTCCACTCCCTGCAGATAAACACATAAGTAAGTGCGTAAACAGATGGGCAGATAAAAACAGAACATTTCTAGTTCCCACACAATTTAAACAGGAGAAGTTAATCCTTATCTCGTTCCTACACTCAACAGAGGCACAGAAACACTCTAAGAAGCAGGGTGTCTATAAAAGCAAAAGCCTCAACCACTTCACAGAACTGCTAATAAATACCAAAGGAAAAGAAAAAAAGTAAAACTGCAAGGTTTCCAGTTCCAGACTTTGATGGTGTAGGCCCACATGCCCCTGCTCCTCTGAATGCACTGGAGACAATTCAACAATCAAAAAAGGACTCTGTAATGGGGAAAGAAGGTGAACTGGCCTGGGAAGCTCAGAGTGTAAGGAAGAACACCCTTGTGAGTTCACTGGGTTTTCCTTTTGTCCTCCCTATGTCCACGAGTGGGCACCAGGGCAGCGTGCAACCTAAAACAACCAACATGGGTAGACATAAATACAGGAGAAAACCCTGCTTTCTGGCCACAGGACTTCCCCAAAACAGAAGCTCAGCAGAGACCCCGAGGGAGAGATTGCCCCATTACCCAGGACGGGGGGGGGGCCCACCCCACCACAGCATCAGCAGGGCCTCCACCCCAGACTCAGACTCAGACTCAGACCCAGGCAGCAGTAGGCCAGATCCACCGCAGGGGCAACTAGGTCCCAGTCCCTAGTTGGAGCAACATCCAGCCAAAATGCCCTTAGCAGCAGCAGAACTGGGAACCCACAGCGCCCGCCCACCAGCCAGCACAGGTAACACGTGTACAGATCAAACAGGAGATCCTGTGGCACCAGAAGAACAAAGCAGAGACTGGTACCTGCAAGAGTTCTGAAAACTGAATTATCACAGGGATCACACAGCTCGCAGAAGTAGGCCAGGGCCTGCACACTAAACCTAAATGCATGAACTGCCTACTAACACAGAACATTTAACCAGAACCAAGAGTCACCTGACATCAGTACCCTACATGTACAGGATACAATAAAATAATTATAATCACATGTCATATCAAGAACCGGGAAAAACACACTTATATGGGAAAAGACATATGCACTAATGTCAACATTAAAATGAATCACATGGAGAATTTTAAAGCAGCCAATATAAAAATGCTTCATCAGTTAGGAATTCTTCTAAAACAATAAAAAATAATGAAAAATCTCAGCAAAGAAATAGAAATGATCAAAAGTACCAAATGAATCTATACAACTACAACATACAGTTTTCAAAATAGTTTACTCAATCTAAACAACAGACAGAAAATAGACAAAAAACAAAAACAAAAACAAAACCCCACAGATCCTCAGGTGGGATAATAACAAAAGTTCTAAAGTCCAAGTGGTAAATAGAATAATACCCCTCTGCAAGAAGCCGTACAGGTCCTAATCGTTGGAACCTGTGAACGTTACTTTATATGGCAAAAAACTCTGTGGGTGTTACTAAGCTAAATGAAGGGTGAGAGATTATCCTGGATTATGTGGGTGGGCCCAGTGTAACTGGACTGGCCAGGATGATTCCAGCCCTGAGCCAAGGAGCAAGTACTGATACATGAAACAACATGGGTGAACCTTGAAAACGTTACACTATGAAAAGTAAAAAATCACAGAAGGCCGCACAGTGTGTGACTCCATTTACATGACGTGTCCAGAACAGACAAATCTGTGGAGACAGAATATAGATTAGCGATTGCCAGCAGCTAGGAGAAGAGAACAGGAAGTTACTGCTGGATGGGTCCAGGATTTCTTTCTGCTGTGATGAAAATGCTCTAGAATCAGACAGTGGTGATGGCTGCCAAACACTGTGAATACACTAAAAGCCCCTGAATTGTACTCTTTTAAAATAGTAAATTTTATGTTATGTGACTTTTATCTCAATTTTTAAAAAAGATAAAGAAACACTACATATTACTTTAACTCAGAAGTCTACAATTTTGAAAAAAAATGGACCAAGTCTTTGAAAACAACAACCAAACTCAGCCAGAATGAAGTAGGTAACTTGAATAATCCTGTAACTATTTTAAAAATCAAATTTGTAATTTAAGCCCGGGGGGTGTCTGTGGTTTGCGGCGCTCGGTCCGCCCGGCGAAAGTTCTCCCCCCCCCCTAAAAACAAAATAAAAAAAAAAAAAAAAAAAAAAAAAAAGCCGCAGGTGGTTTCAATGGACAATCTTACCAAACACTGAAAGAATTAATATCCATTTTATACAATGTTTTCCAAAAATGGAAGTGGGACACTTTCCAACTTAGTTTATGAAGCCAGTATTACCAAGACCAAAACCAGACAAAGACATCACAAGAATACTACAAACCAGTATCTCTCATGAACTTAGCTGCAAAATTCTTAACAAAATATTAGCAAATCAAATCCGGCAATGAACAGTACAGCACAACCAAGTGGTATGTATTCCAGGGATGCAAGGCTTGCACAGTAGTTTTTTAAATCAAAATCAATGTAATGCACTATAACAACAGATTAAGAAAGAAAAACCATCTGATCATATCAACACAGAAAAAACATTTTTGAAAAAAATCCCACACCACTCATGATAAATAGCTCTCAGCAAACCAGGGATAGAGGAAAGCTTCTTCAACTTCATAAAAAACATCCACAAAAAATCTTCACAGCTAGCAACACACCTCACCATGAAAGACTGAGTACTGTTTCCAGAAGAAGGGACAAGGCAAAGATGCGCCCGTCTTTGCCACTCTCACTTACTACAGTACTGCAAGTCCTAGCCACCACAATCAAACAAAAAGGAAAAAAAAAGGCATCCAGAAAAGAAGAAATAAAACTGTCCCTATTGGTAGATGACATGATTGTCAATTAAAAAACAAAACAAGAAACATTCAAGAAAAGCTCCTAGGACTAAAAAGAGTTTATAGCAAGGTTGCCAGAAATAAGATCAACACATGAAAACCAACAGCATTTCTGCAAACCCACAACATACAAGTGGAAACCAAAATTTTACAACACATACATTTACAACTACTCCCCCAAAATTCATTCATATGAATGAATCCAATAAAATATGAACAGAATATATTCGCCGAGTATAAAATTCCAATGAAACAAAGACAGTCTAAATAATTGAAGAGACACACGGTGTCATGAATTTTAAAAACTTAATACAGTAAAGATGTCAATACTCCCCAAACTGACTATCTATAGGTTGAATGCAATTTTGAAAATATTTCATCTCTTCTTTAAAGCAGGTTCCTTCATATGAAATTTTTCAAACTACAAATCAACTTACTGACTTTGACTATCATTTTTCTTGGAGTAAAAAGAATCAAACAGAAAACATTAGTATGCATTCCACATAATAAAAGAAAATGTTACTTTATAAAACCTCTATTTCGGTATAAATACACACACAAATGTGTAAAAGGGATCTCTTAAAAACGGTTTAGTCAAGCTGTGAAAGCTCCCACTCCAATGGCCTCTAATAAGCAGCAGCCTAACAGGAAGAATATAATGGCAAGTATAAAACAATCTCCAATAAAACATTCTAGTTCAAACTTTCACTGTTCTACTCTGTTATGCATTTCAATGCACCATTCCCTACACCCCCACTTCTTCTACTCGTCTGTCCTCCGCTAGCTAGTTCTTTAACTGCAAAATTAACATCCATTGTACACCAGAATGGGTTAATGCACAAAATATAAGTGAACATTCTCCTGAAATCCTTCCTCTCCTGGGACAGAAAAGGAGCTGCCCAAAGGTATGATGGGAACTAAAAAAACAGTCTCTCTCCACTTTACTAGACTCAGGAATTTAAAAGAGAAGGCAAAAAATGAGTATTATTCCGACCAAATGAACCAAATCACTTGAAGATATTTTCCCCCAAATTTTAACCAGCCATCACTATAGGAGACACATATTCGAAAGACTTTAAGTATTTTTTAAGTAAGGTTTTGCATTTACTAAAGAGCTAGCCCTGACTGTTCTTTATGCAAGATGACTACGGCATTGTCACCTGAAGCATGAAAATTATGGGAACTTACAATTTTGGGAACCCTCTTTTACAATAAATAGGGCCTCTTGTCTGAGTCAAGTTGAAAATTAAAACTCCTAGAACTGGTGAAACAGCTGAAAGAATGGTCATAAAAATCATGCTATTCTAGCCATGCAACGATGAAAGTAGAGACACACAGCCATGTGCTCTGAGTAATCATTCAAGCAGCCTGACGTTTTGCAATGAATCATCCCCTTCTCTCCTGCTCACTCTAGTGATCTTCCATCTCAATGGACTGTAACTCCATCCTTCCAGAGGCTCCAAGCAAAAATCTTCAACTCTCACATCTCTCCCAACAGCACATCTCTAATTTCAAAAGATGTTGTATCCAGCATCTGACTGCTTCTTACCACTTCCACTACTACCTCTCTCTCCTGGATAACCTCTCCTTCCACCCTTAAACCCTTACAAAACTATTCCCCAGCAGCAGCCCATATTATCCTTTTAAAACATAAGCCAGATCATAGTAATCCTCTGCTCAAAACTGGGCAATGATTTTCAAGCTCACTGGAAGCCCAAAAGCGCCCACAATGGCCCACAAGGCTTCACACGACCCGATGGTCAGGACCACACATCCCCACCACCTTATTCTTCCTCCGATCTCTTCTCCTGTCGGCCTCCATCTCCTGTCTCTCTCTGCTCCAGCCCCTCTCGCCTCTGTTCCCTAATCATGACAACATGCTGCTCCTTCAGTGCCTTGCTACTGCTGCTCCCTCTGCTTGGAACAAACTTCCTGCAGACCACCACAGCATTCACCTCGTCACCTCCTCCAAGTCTCTCCTCAAATGTCACCTGCTTAGTGAGGCTTCCACTCCTCTACTGAAAACTCGCCTCAATCCCTGGCAGGTCCCAACCCCTTTCCCTGCTTTATCTTTGTCCACTAGATCATAAACTCCAAAAGAGCAGGGATTTTACTGCTGTGTTACTGCTGTATCTTTAGCATCCAGAACAGTGCCAAGAGTTCAC